AAGAGCGTGCAAGTTGGCACTGCTGCTGTTGAAACTCATGTAGAAGCAAGACTTGGGAATATCTGCATCTTCTCAAGTGCTGCAGACATCAACACTTCTTGCTGCTGGTGTCAGTGTTGCTAACAAAAACCATGGGCTGTTCAACTCTGGTTGAGGAAAAAGTACTGAGTCTCAAACTTTTACGTTTTTGCACTTTTTGAAAGTTCAGAACAGTCCAGAGTGCAGCAACAGGTTAAGCTGATCTGGATTTGGGGTTACCCCACTTCTGCCTTCCATTGGTGTTGCTGCTTTTGCAATGAGCTGGTAAGGGAGCTGAAGAAAGAGCAGAACCCCGGCAGCCCTGGCGTACATTGGCTCAGCTGCTGTGGAACTGCATGCTGACTTAAATCACAGGAGTACTGCTTTTAAAGAATTTTTCAGAAACACAATGTATGTCACCCCAGTGACCTGTATTTCCGTTGCTTTGTAGGCTTTCAAGATTGCCCAAATAGCAGCATTTGAAATGCATTGTTTTTGGATTTGAGCGGTAGGATGTAGGTAGGGAAATCCTGGCTGTGCTGGGCCTGACGTGGTCCACCGGACAAGCTTTGGAAAGCTTAGCCAACCAAGCAAATATGTTTTTGCGTATCTCATGATTTATAGCCTATCTCTAAATTTGTGTTTGTTAAACATGCCGGCATTTCCTTTGTTTTGGAAGTTTTAACATCTTTGTTGCTTCCTATTTGTTTCAGGCAAAACAAATTGTCTCGATTCAGGGAATTTAATTTTATTTAATTTATTGCTAATTAACATAAACTTTTAATTACTGATTTGCATATTGAGAAACAAAGAAGATATAGACAATTAAGCAAACACTTAAGGAGACACCTTTCCTCACCTTTCTTCAGGCCCAAGTTCAGTCCAACACCTTTTCTTCCCCCTTCTGCTTCTTCACTTACTTTTCTGTCACCAAACATTACACTCAGTCCCTTCCAATCCCTTCAGGGAGGCAGTGGGCAGCGCAGGAGGTTGGGGGTTAGTGAGAAGTGCTTTCTTTCTGCCACTCTGCTTCTTCTTTTCTCCCACTGCTCCATGCTTCCTGCTGCTCCTCTGCTCCAGTGTGCGCCCTTCATGAGTTGCAGTCCCGTCAGGTGTTTAGCTGCTCTGCCATGTCTCCTCAATGGGTCACAGGCCCTTTGAGGGTGTCTGTGCTCCAGCTGGGTCCTTCACAGTCTCTTTGTCGGTGTCCCAGCTTTGAAGTGGGCCCTCAAGCAGGCTGCAGCCCCTTTGGGGATATACCTCTTCCAGCATGGGTTCTCCATGGGCCACAATACTTTGGGAATGTACCTGCTTTGATGTGGGTTGCCCATGGGCCACAGTCATTTTGGGGGTGCCCTGTTCGGGTGTGGGTCACCCAAAGCTTGCAGTCTCCCCAGAGGCATACCTCTTCTCACATGGTGTGCCTCCTTCCATGAGTGCCCCTCCAGCTATGTCCCCAACAATTCCCTTCCGATCTCTTCCACTTTCTCCAAAAATGTACCTCTTCACATTTCTCCTCTTATGTCCCCTTCTGTGTGTCCTCCTGCGCCTTTTCTCATATCTCCTTTTTTTTTCTCTTCTGGTGTCGCCTTTCATGTGTCTCTTCTCATGTGCCTCCTCCTCTGTCTCCTTATGTCTTTCCTTTTGTGTCTCATGTTTGTGTGTCCTCAAATCTCTCCTCCTGTGAGAGTGGCCCCTCATGTTTGAGCAGCGGCAGCATGTTCTTCTCTGGCTAATTTTAAAAGTTTTGGCACACAACAGGTTGTTTTCATCAGTTTCAGAGCTGCCTGCAACTAGCTGAGATAGGCACAGAGCAGTTCATGGCCTTCTCTACGTAAGTCACACCTGTGGCCCCTGCTACTGAAACCCTGCCGTTTATGTCCAATACACCGTTACAGAGAGCAGAGCGGTATAGATGGCTGTTTGCCTAGTTTCTGATCGTGACTGAAGTATTATGTTTTCCTTATAGCATAAATTAAAAGGTGGTGATAAGCTCAGTTTTATAAATCACTTATTTGCCTTTTCAAAATGCACTGCTCTTCTTTAAGGTTGATTGTTTTTCTATTTTTAGTATGCATGATATTTGCATAGCTATGCTTTAGTAGCACATTTTATAGCAAAAAGAAATTAGAACCTTACTGAGATCATGTGTACCCTGTTGGTTTGAGTTATAGCTGCTCAGGCTTTTCATAGTCAGCCTTCTGTTTTATCTCTAGGATAAACTGATGAGCAATCATCCGTGGTTTTTTCCTGTATTGACCTTTTAGACATCTGTGGTCATGTTCAGACTAATATTTTGCTTACCTGGACAGGGTCTAAGATGTTCTGTTTTAAAGTGTTTGTTTGAGACAAAGAGATTGTTGTGCTGGTTAGTGTACAGAAAAGTGGCAGAAGCAAAACGTGGAAAATCAATCTACCCACAGCATGTTGAATTTAGCTGCCAGGGATAAGTTGAACGGTGCTGAAATTAGGGAAATGGTCTTCATTGTTTGCAGAGGGACTCTGTGAAACCTGCTGCAGCAATTCCATCATGGAAAGAAAATGAAGACTTAAGTATGGAGAAAGTGGAACAGAAAAGCAGACATTAGATGAAATAGAAGGGAAAATGCAATCCCTAAATTTGCCCGAGAGTAGGGTTTTCTTTCTGACGTTGCTGGGATTCAGTTACCTTCATTTAGGTATTTAATCCTGAGCACAGATGACACTGGAAGGCTGTCAAAGTCTCTTCATGGTTCACTGCAGAAGAGGAAATATCAGTGACTGCGTCAACTTGAAGAGAAGTGACCAGAATCAGCTGCGTGAGAAGATGATGACATTTTCTTTCAATACCCTACCTAAAAAAACAAAATAAGCAACCACCCCCCAAAACGTAGTGTGCCATGGGAATCTTATGTATTCTGTTGCTCATTAGTAAAAGCAAAGTGAACATGTAAAAAGGCATTACCACCTAACACATGAATCGTAGATACACTTATAGTTCCTTTCACTGCTTGTATTGGCCGTGATGGGATGAGATGAAAGCAGTGGAAAGACATGTCTTCCATCATCTTTGTGGCACCAAAAATACAGAAGCGTAGACAAACAGCTGTTAGAGTAACAGCATATAAATGAAGCTGACTTTTCTAGGTTCTCTCCCAGAAAATTATTGGTATTTCACTTTTCATTGTGTGGTTTTGGCAAAACCCACTAAATTTCAACCGGGGTCAGAGCACCGCATTCATGCTTGGATTTCTAAGTATGGCGTCAAAGTCATTTAGAACTTTGTAAATGGCTGGACTCTTGTGTTGAGCATCTACAGTCCCCTTCGAAACTGCATGCTAATTTGCTATGGACTTAGCTGCCTAATTGTGAGAGCCTTGGCTGGAAAGTTTTGAAACTGCGAGTGATTTGTTCTGACCTGACTTTACTTGCTATAAATGCGTTACTGTTTCTTTAGCAAACCCTATGAAACCTGTGAGTAGTTTTTTGAAAAAGCTTTATATGATTCAAAAAAAAGAAATGCAAAATTGAAGTCACGGAGACTGTTACCAAAAAGCTTGGACAGAAGTTAGATATAAACCCCTATGTTAGCAGTGAGTAAAATGCCTCTGGTGACTCATGTGTGCATGACTTCAGACATACTCTTGCCGCCCATGGATTGTCTCTGATAATTTTATTTTTTTTAAAGGTAGAATATGATTTCAGATATTCAGTGAAGGAAATTTCAGAGGTTGCTTCAGTGTCCTACTTGGTATAACACCAACAATTATTTCTTTTAAGTAGTATTTTTTTTAATTGTTGTGGTATAGGTTAGATTTTCCTATGGATGTCTCTTAACAGAAGTGCATTGATTTTTTTAGATAAATGTATGAAGATGATGATGATCTGCTTTTTTTTAATCCCTGCTTTGCTCTATCTCATCCTCATACAATGAATTGCCAATGAGAATACATCATGAAAGCTTTTAAAATTTTCCACAAAAATTTATGTGAAAGATATAATGGCTACTGAATTAATTCCTTATGCCTATATCATAGGAGATGGTGCATGCACCATCTCCACAGGTTCGTGCGGCAGTCCACTCACTGCTTCTACTCTCTTTCCTGTAGAGAAAGAACTATAGTGAGGATAAACATCAAGACTACACAGTTTTATCTACTATAGCGTTCTAGTTCTTATTTTCCTTTCATTTTTCTTTACTTCCCTTTAGAGAGCAGTGCATCTCCTGGGAGCACTGTTAAGTTGTATGAAGAGCTGACTGATTCCTGCAGGGAGGACTCACAGGGCAGTTTTCTTGCCCTGTATATTTTCCTCTGTGACTCTCCAAGCACAGTAGTTGACATAGTAGCTATTGGTCAAACCGCACATAAAGTGTATACCTGGGATAGTCTTTGTTAAGTGCTATAATTTGAATTAAATGAAAGATAAAGCTAGTTAATTGAGATACAGGTGAGGCTCCCTGTCAGTTTGCTGAAGTTAATGATAGTTCATTATGGCATTCTGAAGTGTGGAACGGAGAAGAAGATGGAGCCCTTGGCCCTCAAGTTCTAAATGATGTTCTCTGCAGAAGGTATATCTAATAAAATTCATGGTCTGAATGATTTGGGAATAGTTGCAGTAGGTAGGCAGGGCTTATCAACTCTTGGATTTCAGTGCACTTTCGGGACTTGCGTAGCCAATTGTGGTAGTGGCTAAGTGCGGCTCTTTACCTGACCGTCTTGTATTTTGCAGTGCTAATTAAAATGACTGTAGATTTAAGTAGATGCCAGTTGGCAGTATGCTCAGTGAAACGCCCTTGATTCTGGAATGCTCTTTACTTATTTGGGATTGGAAGAAAACCAACAAACCATATCTGTTCTCTTCCTGGCCATGATGCAAGTTCTGTGTCTTTCTCTCCTGTATACATTGATCCAGTACAAGGTGATGTAGTTGTTAAAGAGAGCCATACTGTGCTAACGTGTTTGTGTGTGTATGTTTCAAACTATGTAAGTATATTTCTGATCATTTTGGCTAGGTTGTGTTTTGTAAGTGTAGAATTAAACAAAACAAATACTTATGAGTTATTTAAAAAGAGGGAATTGCGCAGTAATTTTTTTTAATTACTTCTTATTTCGCAGAAGTAATAAAATCTTTTCTGCCTTATGCTAGAAAATGAAATGCTGTAGCATAAGCAAAATGCACTTATTTTCTAAATGTAAACATTAAAAAAAAGTTAGTTTAAAAGCCTTAGAACCTTTTCCAACAGGCAATATGCAGTTCAATTTTTATATAATTATGCCAGACAGAACAGGTAGCATGGTGGGACATGATAATTACACTTCTGAACATGCATGCTTGAATAGAAAACCTCACTAATAAAACTTCTTTTCTAAAAATACTAAAATATTTTACCATACCTCTTAGAAAGCTGGTAACAGATGTCAATGCAATGTCTAATTTGGAAATACAGTGTTGTAGTTAAGGCTCTGTTGAATGTGTTTTGTGGTAATTGCAGTAGTTTGAAGACTTTCTGTTTGTTTTTTCTTTTCCCCCTCCAGCTCTGAACATAAATCTGAACTCTCCTTTTTGGCTGCAGTCTCCTTGGTTATGATCTTCATTCTGGTTCAAAGAAAATGCTCCCTGGTTTCAAAAATTGCTATGGCACTTGGGCTTCTGGGAGTCTACAGTTACCGCGCAGCCATTGGAAACATCGTATTTCCATGGCAACATGACAGCAAGGATATTTCAAAGTAAGTTAATCAATAGATATGTAAATCTATTTCTAGAAAGGTGTTAACACTTTGGATGTCTTGAGGGGTGAGGAGCTTTGTCTAGGCTGGAATCAGATTCTTGTGAACAAAAGAGCTTTCTATTTTAAAGATGGCCAAGAATCAGTTTTTGCGATATGTGCACAGTTTGGAGCCCTGTGATGTGTCTTGCTTCTGTGTCGGATTAGAAACCAGACAAGTGTGCTGATTAATCTGGGAAAATTTAATAGTCCTTCCTTTTTTTTTTTTTTTCCGCTACAAAGAAGAGCCAAGTATACCACCTCCTCTTGTTTTAGAGTGACTTTCTGCATTTAACAGAGAGCGTGCCATTAGCTATTTCCTAGTTTTGAAAAATGTTTAGGCAGTAATTGGTGTGGGGAGCAACTTTTCTGTGTCTTTCTTTTGCAGTTTCTTGTTCTATAATGTATGTCTTTTCCAAATGTAATAAATAAATGTAATAAAATCCTACTGGAGGTCTAGGCTCAGCTGCATAATGCAGACTAAGGATTTTTATATGGATCATAAATTTCTTACAAAATTGTTCGGTGTAACTGTAAGAAAACTATTAGCCATTTTACTGGTGGCTACTTTTGGAATGTAGCTAAGTAGCTTTGATTTTCTTAGAGGCTCTGATACTTTTCACCATTAGATAGTAGCTGGCTTTGCAGCCTCAGTTTTTTCTAAGTGTGAAATAGTTGTGGAAAGCTTCCAGGAAAAGTGATGAGGAGAAAGGGATCACGGAAGACAGTTTGTAAAGCAGTTGTCTTCTAGATAGAATAAACTTTTTTCAGCACTCATTTTGAATTTGATATGGGTAAAAATGGTTCCTATAGGAGCTCTTTAATGAAGGTGCCAGAGACTCTCAGAACATGCAGAGAGGGAAAAAAACTCTGCCGGAGAAGATCTTAGGACTAATAGAAGTCAAATTTGGTGATGAGGTATTTTTTTGTATGTGTGTATGTCTATCCAGATATGTTTATGTACATTCTATCTCTTCAAATATTGAAGAGAATTCTAGTTCTTGACTTAGTTTTAAGTTAACGTTGTGTGTTAGGTCTGCTAGGTGTGAAAGTCTCCAGTGATCTTTACTTTATCTGGAGGATTTGGCTCACTGTTTGAAAGTGTTTGTGGAATCGTGTCTGATTTCTGAATGTGACCTCTAGTTTTGTTTTGTGTGTGACTAAAATCCTTGGGGAAGAATATTGTTCTTGCAATAAGAAGAAAAACACTTCTGAATGGTACTGAATGTTAAATGCAGCAGCTGAGCTGCAAATGAAATGTGATTAAAGAAATAAGTGGAATACTTGAATTTATAGAATGAACAAAGCCTTCACTGAGAACTTACTCATACTATTCATACTATAGCTGGCATGTTGATTGTTATTACAACAAGGAAGATGCAAGATTTTCATATTATTTCAGCTTAAATTAAAAAGTGAATACGGTGATTTGCTTAAATTGTTATGTCAGTCCTTTGTATATGTCTGATTGTATAATCATTTAAAAGTTATTCTCAAGATCATAAAACAAAGCTTTATTGCCAAGTACAGTGATGGTTGAGTCTTGTACTTAAGTCGCAGCTTGAAATGAAATGGCTGTTTAACTAGTAGCAACCAGCTGTTTGTTTTGTTTTGTTTTTTTGAATTGGGATATTTTTGTGCTTGTGGAAATTGGCGCGTGTATTCTGCAAGATTCCAATACACTATAGGGTATACATGTACTGGAGTGCATGTTTTCTTTGATTCCTTTGACTGAATACTAAGCTGCTATGAACTTTTGTAGAACAAAACATATAGTGTAAAACTTTCTCTAAGACCCCTGCCTTGATCAGTGCTTGTTGAATAATTAGGAGTTGCTGAATCTGGTAGCCCGGTAGAGATGAGGCTGCTGCAGCTCCATGTCCCCAGGTCCAGCCGGTAGCAAGGCTGAGCATGTAAATCCGAACAGGAGCATAAGCACTCAGACACAACACATAAAATATGTATATACATGGCTGGCCAAACAGATTCACACAGATGGAGAACAGGGCACTCACACAGACTGCACCAGCAGACTCATGCTATTCTCCTTGCTGGCTGATGAGGACGAAAGCCTATTAGTGCAAAATGTATACCTATATATGCATATATACAATAGGAATCTGTCTAGTAGGTGGTCTCAGATGATCTGTTCAGTAGCTGCTCCTGGATCCCCAGTATCCCCAGTTGCTGGCACCTGGGCATGCAATCCCAAACTTTAGGTCTCCCTGATATCTCACTTCCTGGCTTGATACTTGCTGGGAATTACACACACTGATGTATATACCCACGCAATATGTATGCACTCTAGTTTCTCCAGCTGCTGGCACCGCAGACCTGTGGGCCCCTTGTCCGATGTCTGGCACTTAGCCTTCCATTCACACATGTATGCACAGAATAGATAGCCCACTCACTGTGGAAAATAATTAGAAATGGAGTTAATAAGAATATGGGGCAGACTGCAGTGATCAGGTGCAGAGCATGGCCACACAAGTGTACTGACCAGCAACCTATGTACATGCAGTTGGCCCCTTTTACCCACCTGTCCCTCTGTTTTCCCACACTTGTTCTTCCCCAGACCATCTTGCTTCTTCCCTTTCCTTGCCTGTCGTCCTTTTCTTAAACCTGCCATAGTAAGTCTTGCACAATCCCAACATGCTCTTCGCTGGCATCCCATAAGGAGTCACACGCCCCTGTAGGCAGTACTCCCCTCACTCAGTCTGTAAGGTGATCTGAGGAGAGCTTCTCCTGGTAACTCATCCTGTGGGTGTCACACCTGGAGCACGGCTCTGACTGCTCTCCGATGATGGCCCAGGGAGAAGCTAGGTCAGAGCATGGCTCTGATTAGGTTGCTGGGATTCCTCTGCTTGGCACCGTTCCTCTGCTCTTTATGTTTATGGAGATAAGCTTTTAATCACGTAACTTAACATTCGGTAATTCACTTCACTGACTAATACTTCCTGTGCTGTGTTTGGTGCATGCTCTGAAACTATATACTGAAGGACGAGATAATTTCGCAGGGTTTTAATGTGGACTTGATGATCATAGCATCTGTTTCTCAAACTGTTAAAATTGTGTTCACAGCTTTAGCTGGTAGCATTTCACTCACGTTGAATAACCAGCATCAGTGAACGCACTTAACTAGAGTAGCTACTACTGCTTGCCTGTGTTTTGACAGCACAGTGCTGCTATTGTAAATCCTAATAACTGCCACTGCAGCAAACCAAACTCTGTGCTTCTAACAGTAGAAGAGAAACAGTATCCATTTCTGAAAAGCTTTGTTTATGTTTTGGCTTAGCTTTTCAGAGGAACTTTGTGACAAAGTTGTATCTTTGACCAATAAAGGTGTCCCTCCAGCTGTTTAGGCAAGAAACTTTTAAGGGTTGGGGCTCATTGGCCTTGCCTTTTAACTTATGCATCCAATGAAGCGGTTGCCCGTTTAACCAGAATGTTCTTTGCAATTGTGACGTATCCACTAAACAATTTTTGTGCTGTATGAAGCAGGACTGCTATCAGAGGGAAGAAGTGTATGATCATGATTCTTTGTACCATGCAGATATTCCATGAGAATGTGTCACACAGTCTCAGCTGAAAAATTGGTCCAGTTTTTTGGTCAAGTTTTGTGGTAGTCACTGTGCAACACCAGTGTTATTTAACAGATTTGAATGCAAGGTCCTAATTGGAGTATATTGTTCTGTTTCAAGCAAACTGAAAAAAAATCCATCCTGAGGATTTGTATTAATTCTCCATATGCCTTACCAGTGAGTTATACCCTTTAGTTCCTCTGTGTAGACTGTTCTGTGAACATGGGCAAGGTTGGCAAAAGCAGGGTTTTATCCCTCCTGTTGGCATGTCAGTAAACATAGTAGACATATGTTAGTTAATTTCAGATGTTACCCAATCTGTCAACTTAGGGATCCTAGCTCATCTTGTTTAGATGGCTGACATGGTAAACAAAAGAAGCATATTTAAAATACAACCATGAACAAAAACACGGTCGCGTTTGAAACGTGTCTAGAGCTATCTGTACTGAGAATATAATGAGTGTATTCATAACTGGGATGGAGCCAGATCCAGGTGCAAGGTTGGAGTAGTCCTGTGTAAGATAGCTCCTGCATGAGAAAAAGCAGTAGATAGCCACAGTGTTTTTCATGCACGTTGCTTTCTTATGTAAGATGGAGAATCCATGCTCTGAAATTACCTTTCTCTTTTCCCTTTACTGAAGACAAGTGTTTTCTCCAAATGTGACAGGTGGTGAGAGGCAGATGAGGGAGAAGAGGTTATTAAAGTATGTTTCCTGTTCTATGGCTTGTGCTAAGATAACCTCTAAATTAAAAATTGCAAGGAAGTAATTTGGCCTCCCACTTTACACAGAGTTCCTGTTTAAAACAATAGTTTCTGCAATGAAGAAATGAGTATATACCATAGCAACACAAAATAATGGTGGTACATTTTTCTAAGAAATTAGTCTTCTGGTTTGAATTTTCATCAAACGGCTAAGCTTAGCTTTCATATCAGCCATGTAGTAGCGACAGATATCCAAAGTGGTTTCCGAAAGTTTTGCTTGTAAGTTTTATGAATATATTTGAATACTTTGTTAATAATTGCAGGAAATTTACCAGAGATACTGAAATAGGACACTTAATTTCTGCTCTAGCCATGCAGGAGAAAAATCGACCTAATTGGCTTTCTTTTATTTTTCAGTGAATGTATGATAAATAGAAAAGAATTATTCTTGTTGAAACTGTTCTACCTGCTAGGCAGTCCTGGGATGTTGTGTTACATTAAAGTTGCATATCCAGCTTACTTAGCAATTATAAAATAAAATAAAGGCATAGTTAAATAGAAATACTTGTTGCCTGCCCTAGCAGAGGCAAGCAGAATCCTGCATGGTGTTTTCTGCATCTCAGATAAGGGCTTCATGGAAGACGTTCCTTTTCTCTGTTTGCTGTTTTTTATTCTTCCCTTCTAAAGAGTGGTCTTTTCATGGACAAAACTTATTGTCGTCAAGAAAACACACACATGCTTTAAACTCCCTTTAGGGTTTACAGAGACTTGTTCCCTCAGGGAACAAAACAGTAAACCCTTTTCCGTAGGTATGAGCTTGAACCTGATTATTGTGAAAGTGAAGGAAAAATGAATCTGAGTTCATTTGTCTCAAATTGTTACCACAGATATTCTTCCAGGGTGTGACACCAGCACATCATGCCAGATGTTAAGCTACGCTATGGCAGGTGCTCCGCAAAACCATTGGTAACTTCCTTTCCTCTCCCAAGCTACATTTCAACAAATAATAATGCTACCATTAAATAGGTTTACTGGGGGTGGCAGTGCATTTACTATTTAAACGTGGGAGAGAAGATCACTGCAAAGGGTGAAATTTACTTTTTAAGTCCTTTTCCAAAGAACCCACTGAAAAAATGCTTTTGAAAAGGTGAAAAAACTGCCAGTTGAGTAGCTTTTGACCAGAAAATCACACTGTCATATGAGCATGAAATATTGTTTAATGGGAACTATGTAACTGCTTTGTAGACAAGAGGAAATCAATGGTAGGATGTGTTCTATCTCTTACATGACATGGACATAAAGTAGAAAATACGCTTTTGAAATTAAGTATGCCAGCATATGAGTAATGGTTGTACTGACTTTATTTCCACACTGGCTTATCTAAACAACTACACCCACAGCTTGCTTTGAAAACTAAACCACAGAACAGAGCACTGTACTCATATTTAAGAAAGCCATATCATTATCATGTGGTGTTTTTGACTTTTTTCTTGATTCTGTAGGGACAAGATAGGAAACTGAACCTGTAAATACCATTACTCACTATATTCCGTTTTGCTTTGCTGTTTGCTCTCTGGGGTATGAAAAAGGAAGACTGAATTCAAGGTCATTTGTAAGCAATTGCTTAAGAAGCAATGTGACCTTCCAGAGACTGAAAAATTATATAAATTTATAAAGAAAAAAATATTCTGAGAAATTTCAGATAGTGATGTTGTGTGTGGACAGCTTTCTCAGGAATAACCACACCTATACTATTTTCAGTCTTGGGGTCTAATCCTCCATATATTAAGTGCAAATGACTGCAGAATTTTTACTTCTGACTGAATTGTGGTATCTTTCTAGGAGAGCGTGTTCATTCACCGCTCATGTACAAGGTGGCTGATAATCACTGAGGATTTTAAAATGTTTTTTAAACTGTGGATAAGGTGTGTGGGAAACTCTCTTTTCCAAGGTAAAAATACATCTATAAAAATAGATTTTTTTTTTTTTAATATGCTCATTTGTTGAGTTCATTGGATTATTGTAACTTAGCTCACACTGAAGTGATTTGTGACTTTTTTTGCCCAGTAAATACAAGAATATCAAGGAACTCTAATGAATATCCACTTTCAATGTTTGTCTTGGCACTTGCTCTTCTAGAAGGGCAGGTCTCTGTTCTTGAGATTCCTGGTACTTGTGTTTGTCAGTTCTTCAAATGAAATACTGTGGCTTCTCAAGAAGCTAACTTTCATTGCAAATGGAGAGGCTTATCCATCTGTAGGTATAATTAACATGGCAGTAGGTGCTGAATACAGTTATTACTTAAAATACTCATTTTGCTTAGGGATTCAAAAAATATATAGGGTTAAAATTACAGAGGATAAAAGTGACAGAATGCTGGTTGCATAGGTATGACCTTTGCAGCTGTACAGGGTGAGAAAATGTCTGTGGTATGTAGGATTTTCAGACTGAAATAAAGATCTTCAAATACCACCTTCTTTTTGTTCGGCTAAAAAGAAAGATATGTTTGTCTGAATGAGTTCTAAAAAATCACTGAACAGCTCAAAGGAATAGTGATTTTTTACATCAATTTATTTTCTGAAACAAACTTTCCATATCACTTTAGAGACTATTGTGGGGGCAATTCATGACGCTATATAAATGTCATATACGTATGAATATATTTATGGAACTAGACCACAAATAGTAATAACAAGGGGTTTTTTTGCTCACATTAATTGATATTTAATGATGTTGAAATTTAATACTTTTTAGCACTGTTTTCTTTGCTAAAGTTGATTTTGGGATGTTGTAATTTAGATGTGAACCATTTTTGAAGTTTCTGTATCTGAGAAAGCTCTCTGATAAAATTGTCCCGTACTAGCCTTAGAATTTGGCCTGTTTGGCAGAGTTGTCCTCATATTGCATCTCCCCTGAAAAATACTTTTTTTGACCTGTGAAAGAAATCCTAATAGATAATTCATCTTCCTGTTTTTTCTTTCTTTCTTTCTCTCGTTCTTTCTTTCTTTCTTTCTTTCTTTTTTAATTTCCTTTTTAGGGGGATTACTGAAGCTCGTTTTGTTTATGTCTTTGTTCTTGGCATAGTCTTCACTGGCACTAAAGATTTACTGAAGTCACAGGTTATTTCTACAGACTCCTGTGTGAAGAGTATAGGATTATGGGAAGTGTATAGCGGATTGGTTCTGCTAGCAGCCCTTCTGTTTAGACCTCACAATTTGCCAGTCTTGGTATTTTGTTTGCTGATTCAAACAATGATGACAAAATATATCTGGAGACCGCTGAAGTTTGATGCAGCCCAGATTACTATCATGCACTATTGGTTTGGCCAAGCTTTCTTCTATTTTCAGGTAAGCTGAATGCTCTCCTTGCCTGGGGGGAGGGAGGAGGAATATCTACGTGACTTATTTTGTTGTGATTGATGAGGCAATTGGCTGTGGTGTGAAAAGAATAAAAGTTGTTGGAAATACTCATACACTATTGCACCTAATTTTTGACTTCTAGTAAGTTGAAACACACAGAAAATGAGGAATGGTGCTAATATGTGTATTCAGTGTTTCAGACAGGAACATGAAAATTAATATGCATCAAACAATAAAGAAAACTAGTTTCTGGTGGTGTTTGTGTCAGTGGGCAATTGCAAGGCTCAGACGTGGAGTAGGAAGATAACTTTTCAAATGTTTGAAAGAAATGTACTCCATGGTAAGTGTCCATGGTATGTTTTGGATAAGTAGCTTTTTCATCTGTCTTGACTATTACTATTCAGGCAGTCAATTCTCATTGTGGCCTCCTGTGAGTAGCCTTTAATGGGGTTGAGTTGGAGGCTGGGATGTGGAGGAAGGGGCTTCTCAGTACTGAAGTACTGAGATAAAGGAGAAGTGTAGATGTGGCTAGGCTGACAAAAGAAAATCCTTATTATGGAAAAGAGGCTAATAAAGCATGGTTTAAATGTTTTCATAAAGCATCACTTTTCAGTGGATGATTTTTTGGTGCCTTTGGCTAAAAATTTCTTAGAACCACTGAATAACAGACTAATTGAGTCTGGCAGGCACCTCTGGAGATCATCTAGTCCAATGCCCCTGCCCAAAGAAGGGTCAGGCAGAGCAGGCTGCTCAGGGCTGTGTCCAGTTGGGTTTTGAGTATCTCCGGGGATGGAGAGTCCACAGCCTCTCTGGGCAACCTGTTCCAACGTTCAGTGACCATCACAGTAAAAGAAATATTTTTTTGCTTATGTTCAGCCAGAATTTCTTGTATTTCATTTTGTGCCAGCTGCCTCTTCTCCTTTCACGACACCATTGAGAAGAACTTGGCCCCATCTTCTTTACTTCTCCCCCAAGTCAAATATTTTTACTCATCGGTAAGATCAAACCAGAGCCTTCTCTTTTTGAGGCCAAATAGTCTCAGCTCTCTGAAATAGATGTTCCTATGCCACATGCTCCAACCTCTAAATCATCCTTGTGGCTCCTGGCTGGACTTGCTCCGATATGTCCATATCTCTGTTGTACTGGGGGGCCCGGCACTGGACACAGCACCCCCCGTG